GAATGATGAGGGCAATGAATGTACAAATGTGCTTTACACAATTAATGTATGTATGGATTGTGATAAGAGTTGCATGAGCCCCTAATAAAACGATTTAAAAAAATAAGTAAATATATAAATATCACACAACTAACCAATTAACTCACTGCCATCGAGTCAATGCCGACTTATGGTGGTGCAGTGGTTACAAATTGTGCTTCAATCCTCAGGGTGAGTAGTTCAAAACCACTAGCCATTCCTTGGGAGAAAGATGAGGCTTTCTACTCCTGTAGAGTGACAGTTTCAGAAACTCATAGGGACAATTCTACCCTGTCCTATAGGATTGCTAGGAATCACATATATAAGACTACATGTATATGATATTTAAAGCAAGCAACAGTGAAAGAAAAAGAAATGAACAAGTAAGCTAAATTTCATTCCTAGCTTTTCACTAGTATACTAGCTCTTATCAACTGTGAACCCAGATATAGATATACTATTCTTGCAAGTTCTCTGTATGTTTCAAATTATATTAAAATATAAGTAAAAAAAGTTAACTGCTCACATACACACACAACATATTCGACAAACAATATAAAAATACTCACATGGAATTGAACATTCCCATTAGAGCAGTAAAACAAAAGCCAATTGCAAACATGGATTTCATTCGAACCTGTAGAGAGACCACAGAAGTGTCATTTTACACTAACACCAAAAGAAACCACTGCCACCAAAAGCACCTCCAGTGCACTTCCCCACACGTTCTGGTTTCATGTCGTTTTGTAAAAGGTGCTTGTTAGAAAAAAAGCTGTCTGTTAGGTAACTTGCCCTCCACTGCAAAGGTATCCTCCTTGGGAGAAGAGTACCACTCGGCAGTGCAGAGAATGCCAGGTGATCTACTTCTGATGGATATGTTATAGGTACTGCATGGGCCTTCTAGGAAGTTCTTTTGTAGTTTGTTTTGGTTTGTTTTTTTTAAGAGACAGACTTGGCTGGCATCTCTCTAGGCCTTTTGCTCATTTTTCTTGCTGCAAAGAGGACAAAACTAAGAGGACGAAATTCTAAAACAAAGGCTAGCAGAGCCCAGTCTGATGACATTACTTAACTGCTGCATTAGCCCAGGACCACCATTATATGGATGGCTTGCAGGAAAATAAAGAAAAACTTCTTACTGTTTGAGCCAGTATATCGATATTTAGGTAGTCTTTTATTTGCAGCAAATAGTTTTCAATTACATAAATTTCTTAATTAACCAAAGAAAGGTCATAAGGATACAGAATATCTATGGATGGTTGGTTTGGGGGCAGTATCTCTTCTTTCTTCAATAGCTTCTGAATTTACTATTGTGAATATGTATTTGTGTTATTTTTTTAGGGCATGCACTTCTAAATTATAATCTTTCATAATACGAATTTCAAGATCTCTCAGTAAGTTAAAGAGAACTGCTGCAAAGTTCAAACATCCCATGTTAAATACACGTAAGTGAAAACCCAGCCAAGCAATAAATTAGCCTGTATATACCTTAGAATGACAAACCTGACTGAACACTACTTCTATAAATAATGAATCGCTGGGTAATAAAGCCATGAGTATTTCCTTACCCTCTGTGGCATGGCTGACACTCAGAACACAAGGCCTCTTAAAGAACAAAATGTACTCATAAAAACCATCTATAATAGTTCAACCTCTGATGAGAGTACAGGTCAGCAAAAAATCAAGAACTCCACATTAACAAGGGAGAGTAAATTATACTGTTTAAAAACATAATTGGAAAACTAAGTAACAAATGCATGAAGGGGGTAAATGATGACCCCATGACAATGTTAAAGGGCTATTTATGTCATGAAGTTTAAGAGCAGCAGCATATTTTAATTTCCAATTGCTCCACACACAGCCACAGAATATGTACAGCATACACAGATAACACATTTCTGAAAAGCTGATTGCAATGTGCTTGATGCAAATCATGTCCTTTGCTAGAAACACTAACTGGCTTACCACAAAGTTATACTTAGGACTCTTACCATTGATAGATCTCTGTTGTTATTTTTCAGTTTCTCTTCTTGCCTCTCTGAAAAGAATTAATAAAACGGTTACTAGCTATTATCACTGACTGCTGAGCACAAAGAAGACGTTAACTGACTTGTCACTGCCTGGTGATTATTAAACGGAGCCCTGGCCGTGCTTTCAGATAAGCATCAGACTGCTAACCAAAACGCTGGTGGTTCAAACCTACCAGCTGTTCCTGAAGACAAAAATGAGGCTAGCTGCCCCTGTAAAGGTTCATCGTCTCAGAAACCCTAAATAGAATTGACTTGATAGCAGATTTGTGTTTTGTTTTGTGTGATCATAATATAAAATAACTTCTATTTCAATACCGCTTAATAGAATGAAGTAAATACCTGCAGTACTGTATACTTTGTCCTAAAAGAAAGTTAAATTAGAGCAGAGGATCAAAATCAATTTAAGTAAATAAAAAAATCCTTAAACTTCAATTTTGGGGAGAAAATGCCTCTAGTGTTGTCTTAAATAAAACTTTTCATATTACACCCATAGAAAGTGCCAGTTGATTCTCAAGTGTAGATACATGATTGTCTCAAATATTAACCACCCAAGACTTCCAAGAAGACTGTGCTTCCCAATTTTTGTCATATGTTATGTGTTTCACATGAGGTTAAAATGTGTGTATAAACCACCTCTACTTTCCTTGAGGATTTCTAAATTAAAGGTGCTCGAAATACTATGTGTCCTTTCATGTTCCCTGTCCTATGTGAATTCCTTTCTTGAGTGCATGCCATCCAGAAGCTCAGGATTTAACACAGGGAGAGAAAGAAGTGTGCTTTAAGTCTCCCCTTTAAGTCTATGCTCCTAATACTCTTGAAGTTTTAGAATATACTTCCATGGGATTTGAGGAAATAACATAGTAAGAAGAATATGAACATAAAATGGTACATTTATATTCTAAAATGATGTATCATCCAAAATAGTGATTTAATAGTGGAGTCTAACCCGGAAGACCCTACTATCTGGCTTTCCCTCAGGGCTGGCTCTGTTTGAAAGACTGGCTTTGTCACAATTCCTACATTCTTATTTGTTCAGCTTTTCCTCAATTTCTGATCATACGTATCTTAAAATAAACCCGTTGGTACTTGAAGGAACTTACATAAAGCTAAATAAAACTTCATACAAAGAAAGTAAATTCGTTGCTTTTATGACGAAATCCATTGACCTTCAGCTTCTCTGAAACAATGGCTATTGCTGGTCACACCCCTGCCCTCCCCATTACTGAGACCTCCCTTACTTAGTGAAGCAGCATCACTTTTTAAAGCCCTCACATACTCTTTCTATTTTTGTAAATAACCTCAAATGGAAAATCTGAGCAAAGGGAAAATAACGGTTGAATGACAACAAAACCAAAACTGATAAAACCAAACTCACTACCCCCAAGTCAATGCTGACTCACAGCGACCCTCTGTGGGTTCTGAGACTACAACTGCTCATGGGAGTAGAAAGCCCCGTCCTTCTGCTGCAGAACGGCTGATGTTTCAAAACTGCCAACAATGCAGATCACAGGCCAACTCATAAGCAGTACACCACCGGGGCTCCAGAAGTTGTTGCTGATAGCTGTCATCATGTCTGCCCCAACTCATGTCAACCCTATATGACACAAGGAAACACTGCCTGGTCCTCCTCATCCTCACAAATGTTATATTTGACCCCATTGTTGCAGACACTTTCCATCCATCCTGTTTTACATCTGCCTCCTATTTGGCTAACCCTCTACCTAACATGATGTCCTTTTCTTGGATATAGACAGGACCACTATACAGAAATACATCTAATTAGAACCATAAATTTTATGGAGATGAATAGCAAATCTGACTAGGCCTATTAGTAGCCAATTCAAAGTAAAAAAAATCAGGACAATATCCATAAAATAAAATGAAACAAGTATTTATAAGAATCACTGCTATTCTCAACATTGAAAACCATCAGAAAGTGTTTACAATACATCGGTTTATATTGGGTATATGTGGATAATGCCCTCAAAAGAACTTTATAGTAGTATAACAAACTACCCAAACCAACAATCAAACCCATTGCCACGAGCCCATTCTAGCTCAGAACCCCTGTAAGGCAGAGTATGCCCTGTATGGATCCCAAGGTTGTGAATCTTTACAGAAGCAGAGTGCCACACCTTTTCCCATACAGCAGCTGGTGCATTCAAACCATTGATCTTTTGGGTAACAGCCAAGCACTTTGACCACTGTGCCATTAGGGAGTCTTAGAAATCGTACTTAGCTGGGTTTTCAATAAGGAGTCCTGGTGGCATAGTGGGTTAAGGGTGGGGCTGCTAACCAAAGGCTCGAGGTTCAAACTCACCAGCAGCTCCATCAGAGAAAGGTGAGGCTGTCTGCTCTTATAAAAATGTACAGCTTCAGAAGCCCTAAGGAGCAGTTCTTCTCTGTCCTGTAGGATCACTTGCTATGAGCTGCAATTGATTTGACAACAGAGGGTTTAGTGGATTCTGGGTTTTTCATAATGTGTGTAATGATGCAAAAGCCAAGTCAAATACAGTAGCAACAACTTTCTGAAGTCTAAAATAATGCAGTTTATAGTCTGGCTTAATGTAAAAGGAAAATTCTTTCTAGGGAATAGATCCACCACCCATCTGTCAGTTTGTTATACTGGGCTGAGTTGCAAATTGCTATGATGCTGAATGCTACTAGTATTTCAAACACCAAGAAACTGACCCTGGTGAACAGGCTTCAGCAGAGGCTTCAGACTAAGATATCAAACTTGGAAACCTACTTTAGAAAACACACCAAAGACTACACCCTGAGCGTAGCTCTCATGGAACCCTGGTGGGATAGTGATTACACGTTGGTTGCTATCCTCATGGTTGGCAATTCAAAACCACGAGCACCTCAGAGGGAGAAAGGCTGAGCTTTCTACTCCCATAAACAGTTATAGTCTCAGAAACCCAGGGGGTCCCTATGAGTCAGCATTGACTCTGGCAGTGAGTTTGGTTTTGAGAGGGGTGGGAAGAACGTTGAGGGAGGGTAAAGTAATACGCTAGTAGGTATACAGGTGCTAACTTTAACCTGGATGAAGGGGAAGATGATTCTTTTTATCGTTTTATTAGGGGCTCATACAACTCTTATCACAATCCACACATACATCAATTGTGTAAAGCACATTTGTACATTCATTGCCCTCATCATTCTCAAAACATTTCCTATCCACTTAAGCCCCCAGCATTA